CCTCTCCTATCCCAGCTTCTCACGTAATTGCGACGCGAACCTCCGCCCTACCCCCTCTTTCAACCACCTTCTGATCAGGTGAGTCTGTACTTCCTCCTCTGCGTATTTTTTTTCGTCCTTATCTCTGCGGTCGGCTTTTTTTTCTGCCAACATAGCGGCCGTCGGCGACATAGGGAATGCAAATCGTTATCACTGGCTTGCTACAAGGGCCGGTGCTCACCCCGTCGCGCCGGACGGCCCCAGGGGGGCGGGAGGGCCTGGAAAGTACGCGTGTGAAAGGTCCCGGCGGCGGCGAGGGCGGCGCGGCGGCGCGGCTGTGGCCCGGGAAGCCCCCGGTCCTGGACCGGGTGACTCGGGAGGGGACCGCGTTTAAAGGGGCCGCCGCCGCCGCCCCGCGAATTGAATCAGTGCTCCTGGAGGCCTCAGCCCGGCACTGCTGGCTTGTTTTCCGTTTTTCTGAATCGGCGATTGGCCCTGAGGGTGCATCACGGACCAGGAAGAGCTTTGGAAGCTGGCTGGCTCCAGCCGGCCGCCTGCATCTGCTGCTTCCTGCAGCGCCCGGAGCCCGTCCCCAGGCCTGTGTCTGTGTCTGACACCCCTCACCAGGCAGCTTTGGGCCGCAGTTTCCACTCTAAGATATTTTCTTGCTGATTTCCGAGAGGAAGGGAGAGGGAGAGAGAGATGGAGACATCAGTGATGAGAGAGAATCATGGATCAGCTGCCTCCTGCACGGCCCCTACTGGGGATGGAGCCCGCAACCCGGGCCTGTGCCCTGCGTGGGAACTGAACTGCGACCTCCTGGCTCATAGGTCCATGCTCAACCACTGAGCCACACTGGCCGGGCACAGTTTCCACTCTTAAGTGAGGTCAGGAGAAGCCAAGACAGGTAACCACCTGAAAGATGCCTGGTGAAACCCGCCCATTCTTCCCAGACCCAGTGTCAGTAGCACCCCCTCTGGGAGGCGGTCAGGCCTGAGAGAGAGAGAGACCCAGGGCACCTCTGCCCCTCATGCGGAGAAGGAACAGGTGGGGCTCAGGACTCGGCCCCGCTTCTCTCACGGGTCTGCTCTGGTTGAGGAAGGTAACCGCCATTCCTCGGGTCCTCACAGCACCTTTGATGACCCCTAACGCTGTTTCTTTAGTTAGTTGTTAATTGGCTCCGCAATTAATCCTCCAAGGTTAGGGAGGGGCTCTCCTGCAGACACCTCTAATGCAGTGTCCTCGCGTCTGAACTCATGTTGTATCCAAACCTGGATTTCTCACCTCCAGCTACCCCAAAATCCAAAGGTCATCTTTGACTCCTCCCTCTCCTGCACCTGTGTCTTCTGCTAGTCATTCCATGCCCTTCTTCTTCCTAAATATCTCTCCAACTATTAACTTCTCTATGGGCCCACTCCTGCCTTCATCGGGCTACCGTCCCCTCTCACCTGAATTATCGCCATTGCCTCCCAACAGGTCTCCCTCCAGCCTCGCCGCCTACAATCTGCCCCTCGTCTCACTGCCAGACAATCTCCCGATCTCCCGGAAGTAGAGAGGGTAGCCAACCCACCTGCAGGCCCTCAGCTGGAATGCAGGCAGCTCCGGGCCTGGGGGCTGGGCCTGCTGCCTGGGCAGTCCTCGGTGACGGCAACGCGGCCCGCATCCTTTCCAGCCAGTTCTCCAAGCAGAACCTTCGCCTGTGGCGTTCCTTCTGCAAGGACACCCAGCCCTGCTTCCCGCTCTGAGGGCCCCGTGCGACTCCTCGGGACCCTTTCCTCACTCCCCACAGCAGGGCCGCTCTGCAGAGCCAGGGCTTGGGAGTCAGACCAGATCCAAACCCCAGGCCTGCAGTGGGGCCACGCCCAGGCTGGCGGGGTCTCACGCCTACAGAGCAGGATGCGGTAGCGGCCCCCCAGGAGGCTGCCCCCCCTGGAGGCTGGCACCAGAGCTCTCCCTCCGGTTTCTGTTTCTGCTCCCTGGACAGCAGCAATACCTGGCAACTCGGGCCGCAGGCTGGCTCAGGGCTCTCCAGGCGTAAGGCCCTCTTCTCACGTCCAGCCCATGTTCCGGACAGACAGACACACAGCCAGGTCTTCACTCACGCTGGTCGGTCGTCCGTTCTCCCCCACATCTACCCAGGTACCATTTTTCCATGAAGCCTTTCTGCACGCACACACACGCGCGCGCGCGCACACACACCAGGCTGTGTGGTTGCTGCCGAGCCCTGGCTTCTGGGCCTGCCTGTCATCAGGGGGTTATGACGTGTTTTAAACTAAAGACAGTCACTCAGAGACCTCACTGAGCCCTCGCCAGCACCGGGCGCCACAGACTTGCGGTCAGCCAGCACGGGCAGGCAGAGTGGACACAGGTAACGGCTGTATGCAGTAGATGCCACCCTCTCGCGTGTGTCCTTCCAGGGAGAGAGAGAGAGAGAGTGTGTGTGTGTGTGTGTGTGTGTGTGTGTGTGTGTATGTGTGTGTGCACGCACAAGCATGCTGTGACACATGGTAGCCGTCTGTGCACCTTCTGAGCCTCGCTCCCTGACTTACATGTAACAGCGTGGCGCCGTTACCCATCAGGACACAGAAGTCAGCCTGGTGCTCTGTAACGGTTACATGATGTTTCATTAAGTGGATGCATGGATGGGTTCACTCGCCCCCTTACCTGGCCAGGGCTTAGGTTGTTTCCAGCTTGTCAGGCCAAAGTGTCGACGCATCATTTGTCCACATGTGAGAGTAACTACAGCGCCACTTCCTATTGGAATTGCTGGGTCACCTGCACTTGTATTTCTTTTACTTTATTTTTTGGTTTTTGGTAACTTTTAATTGAAGTTCAGGATAGCTACAGGAAAGTGCACACGCAGTGAATTTTCACAGGCAAACCCCTGCCGCCAGCCCCCAGATGGAGAAACAGAATATCAGCGGGGTCCGAGCCCCTCCACGACCCCTTCCAGGATAAGCTCATCACGGCTCCTCACGCCGTAGACTCCGCCGGCACGTGCGACACTTGTGCAAAGAGCAGCACATGGCGCCTTCTCTGTCGGGTCTGGCATAGAGTTGCATTGGGTTGGGATTTATTTGTTCTTGTTGCTGAAGAACACACATAGAACACACAGTGGACTGGCCTGTTCTTCTCTTGATGGCCATCAGGATTGTTTCCAAGCTGGGGCTGTTATGAATAAAGCGCTGTGAGAACTCTGACACGTGGTTATGTGCCTTTTTAAAATTAAATATATTTTTATTGATTTCAGAGAGGAAGGGAGAGGGAGAGAGAGAAACATCAATGTGCGCACCTTTTGGGGATCGAGCCTGAAACCCGGGCATGTGCCCTGACTGGGAATTGAACCAGAGACCCTTGAGTCCACAGGCTGACACTCTAACCACTGAGCAAAACCGGCCAGGGCGGTATGTGCATTTTCAACTTAGAAAGATTGTCAAATTGTCCTCCAAACATGCTTTCGTGCCCTGGATCCGCCAGCAAGGCTGCAAAGCCAGTTCCATCTGTTCACTAATGCGGGCCTTCTTGAGCCTTCGGACCTTTGCCCAGCTAAGTGGAAAAAACCCTGAGAATTCATATTGTTTTGTATTTCTTTGACGGAGTTTACTTGAGAATCGCCGTATGTAAAAGCCGTCCTGCTTTCCCTCCTGTGAACTGTGGGGGGACTTAAAGGACAGCACAGGAGCTTGAGCATGTCCAGATGCTGAAGGGAAGGGTCATGGGGACAAATGAGTGATGCCAGAAGGGGGAGCGGCCACCGGTGGGGAGGTGTGGGAGTGCGTGTTGGGGGTCGCCCACAGGGAAGCTGGCCTGGGCAGGAGGGCGGACCTGCTTCCTCGGAGAGCAGGAGGGAAGAGAGAGGCCTGAGATCCAGGAAGGTTCTGGGATACAGAGCGGAGAAGGCTCACGCGAGACCCACCTTCTTGGTGACACAGGCGGACAGCCCTCTGCGGGGACGGGGGCCCCGTGAGGGAGGAATAGACTAGAAAGAACGTGTTAAGCGACTGCCCGGCTACCCTGCGGGAGCTGGCGGAGGCCGGCGGGTGGCTTCCCCGGGAGAGTCGCTGGAGCCGGTGTTAAGGGACAAGGAGGTGGCCCTCCAGAGAATGGAGATGACATTTCGGTGTGGACTCCCCACCGCCCCACCTTCGCATATACCAGTGATGGCGAACCTTTTGAGCTCGGCATGTCAGCATTTTGAAAAACCCTAACTTAACTCTGGTGCCGTGTCACATATAGAAATTTTTTGATATTTGCAACCATAGTAAAACAAAGACTTCTATTTTTGATAT